GGCTAAGCATCAGAGGCCGCATGGCAAGCTACATCATCTGAAGGTTCCCATGTGGCAATGGGAGTAGATCACGATGTATTTTATCACCAAGTTTCCGAAGACGACAAAGGGTTTTCAAGATATATGGGTCACGAGTAGATCGACTGACCAAGAGTGCCCATTTCTTGGCAATCCGGGAAAGTTCTTCGGCCGAAAAGTTGGCCAATGTTTATGTCCTGGAGATTGTTGCTCGCCATGGGGTTCGGGTATCTATTATTTCTAACCGAGATGTTCGGTTCACTTCCCGCTTCTGGCAGAAGTTTCGCGAGGAACTAGGCACGAGGTAGCATTTCAGCACTGCTTATCATCCACAAACCGACGGCCAGATTGTGAGCAGACAATATTGACCCTTGAGGATATGTTGCGGGCATGTGTTATTGATTTTGGTGGGAGTTGGGATTCCTACCTAACCTTTATGAAGTTCTCCTATAACAATAGTTATAACTCCAGCATTGGTGCTCCACCTTTTGAGCTCTTGTATGGTCGGAGATGTCGTACCCTGGTTTGTTGCGGAGAGTTTGGTCACACGGTTATAGGAAGGACCAATATAGTCCTTCAAACCATGGAGCTTATTCAACAGATCTGGCAGAGACTGCAGACCGCTTAGAGTCGGCAGAAGAGCTATTCCGACCGGCGCCGATCCGAGTTAGAGTTTCAGGTCGGTGATATGGTATTACTGAAGGTCTCACCTTGGAAAGGTGTGATACGCTTCAGGAAGAGGGGGAAATTGGGTCCCCGATATATTCGGCCTTTTCGATTGATTTTCAGGGTTGGCAAGCTTGCATACAGGTTGGATCTACCTGAGGAGCTCAGGCACATTCATAACACTTTCCATGTTTCGTAGCTGCAAAAGTGCGTATTGGATGAGGATGCAGTGGTTTCCTTGGATGATATTCAGGTCGATGAGCGTCTGAACTATGTTGAGAGGCCGGTAGCTATTTTGGAAAGAAAGATGAAGGTCTTGAACAACAAGGAGATACCTTTGGTAAATCTACGGCGGCAGGATCGGAGGGGCTCCGAGTGGACCTGGGAGCGGAGGCTGAGATGCGGAAGCATTATCCTGAGTTATTCTCCGCAGCAGACTTCGAGGACGAAGTCTAGATCAAGTGGGGGAGAATTGTAACATCCTGATGATAAGGTAATTCAAATTTCACCTCTTTAATTCATTTATATTGTATTTGGTCCCAAAGTTCAAGAAATGTATGCAAAAGGGGCCTTAATGGCATTTTGGTAAATTAAGGCTTTGGAGTACGCCATGCCTACGTGGTGTACGCCCAAGGTACTAAGGCACGCCCTAGTACGCTGGACATACATCATTGTACGTTAGGCATACTTACTAAATGAGGAAACCCTAATTTATAGCGTTTGGCAGGTATTTAAGCATCCTTATGGCCTCATTTCCCTTCACCTTATCAGCCTCCACCCTCTCATTCGTGTTTGAAGCCCTAATTCTCCTTGAGAAGCCATTTCTAGCCTAAAAGTGTGTGTTTGTGTGCTTAGAAGAAGAAGGAAGGAAGCCAATATTATCTATGGAGAGTGAAGCACTTTGGATCTACGATTTACTCTTCATTTGCAACCCTTCAAATGTATAAAGCTTGCAACTTGACCTTTCAATCATGTAGATCTAGAAATGTGTGTTTTAGTGTTACTATTTGGTCTCAAATGTCTTCTCTTGAGCATGACATGTTCTTGACGATTGAGTTGTCCTTTTAGACCCTAGGAGGGGTCCTAAGTCATAAAAATGAAGTCCCAATGGTTAGTTTTGCTCCATGCATCTTGTAGAAGGTCTTAACGTATTAAGACCTTAAGTTAAGCACTTAATGGGCATGTGAAGGCATAAAGTTCGAAACTTTATTACTATAGAGTGTATTTGAGCCTTGGATCTGAAATATGGACATAAGTGCTTAAGCCATTAAGCACTTATTGAGTTTTGAAGGATGCGAGGGTACGCCCCGCGTACTCGGTGTACGCCTTGCGTACGAGCTCAACCACCCCGACTGTGGTTAACTACGAGGGTTTGGAATACGCTCAGCGTACCTCCGAAGTATGTCCCGCGTACTCGCACTGGGTCATCTCAGATGAGTTGATTCGGTTGACTTAGTAGGTTTGACCAATTGACTTTCTCTTTGACCAAGTTTGACCTTGAGGGTATATTGGGTATTATGGGATTTTGATGGAATTTGTCATTTGTGGGATTATGTGTTGGTTAGCGAGCTGAGATTCGGAGTCGTGACCTCATCAGCTTCTATCCAGTTTGCGAGGTGAGTTTTCCTCACTATACTTGCGGGTCGAAGACACCAATCTCGGCGCTTTGGATTGATATCCTGTTATACGTGCTATTGTGTTTTAGTGATTTGGTAGATCAGTATCCTGATATATAGGATGTTGTTATGCTTAGTTAGTATATTTGTTTGTTGTCTGTTGGCTGGCTATATGTTTATTTGTTATGTATATGTGCACATATTTCATTGATGTTGAGGCTTTACTGCTTTGTGTGTAAGACAACAGATCGCGGGCATTCCAACTCGATGGTTGAGTGGGCCCGAGGGTATTCTATCCCGAGGATGACATGACCCATTATGTGTTGGCATTCCAACCCGATGGTTGAAGGGCCTGGGGTATTCCAACCCGGTGGTTTACTGAACCCATAGTGTATCGGGGGAAACTCACTAAGCGTTGGCTTATAGTTTTGAGTTATGTTTCAGGTATTTCAGACGACCGAGGGAAGACGAAGGTTTGACCGTACACATGCTCATGTTTTGGACTTATGATTTTGGGAACTCTGATGTTAAAATGCTTTTGAAACTATGTTTGTAAACAATTTGTGAATTTGGTTGGTTTTAAAAAGTTTAAATTTATCATGATTTTAAGGTTGTTATAGACTCGATTGTTTTGTCCTTACGTTGCCACAACGTTGCCAATGGAAGGCCACGACATGGCTATTCGTTGATATGATTTTAGGCTACTGACCATAAAGGTTGACCTTTGACCGTTGACTTGTTGGCCTAGGTTGACTTTAGGTTAAGATTGTTAGATCTAATGTGTAGAGTAAGGTTGGATCTTGTATGATTTGATAGGAGTGTTGTAGCATCTATTGCGGGGCATTGAGCTCTAGTTTAACTGATCTCGTGAGTCAGGTGAGTCTTCTCACTATACTGTATAGGATGCTAGTTGTCTTTATAACTCTTGCATGTGTATGTTGGGGCTAAGCAAATTTATTATATGTTGGGTTGGACCCATTGATGTGTTGGGTTGGGCCCATTTGCATGTTGGGTTTGGCCCATTGTTATAGACATTGGGCTGGACCCATTTGTATGTTAGGCTCGGCCCATGGATATGTTGGGCTCGGCCTATTGTAGTTTAAACTTTTTCAAGTACTTCCAGTTCCGGAGGAAAAGACCCGACCTGATTGCACTGCATCCTCCAAAGTTTATCTCGCATTGGCTACTTGTGATTTTTACTTTGATGTTTTGAGAATACTATTACTTTTATTATCTTTTGGAACAAAATGAATGAATGGTTTGATTCATTAAAAATAAAAATTTTAATTTCTATTTTTGAGGCGTTACATAATCTTTATAGAAGTCGTCCACACTAAAGTTATTCTATCTATACGAAATCAAAGAAACAATCATGTATAATTGTGCATATTAAGTACTTTACTCTTTGATTTGATATAGTTTTAATCATAAATTAATAAAACACATTTAATAAAACATATTGTAATATTAACAAAGGGATACGAAGAAAGAAAAAACACTTTGGTATAGGTTTTTATACAAATCATCTAAAAAGTGTTTGGATTGTAGGGAATCCGTATTTAGTGAGAAACCATCCAAAAAATTCTCACTCACCAAAATAGAGGAAGATGTTTTTGATGTTTGTTTAATCGAAACACAATTTTGGTCTTCGAAATATCGGTTTCATGACACCTTTTTTTTTTCTTTTGTTTTTTTTACCGTCCTCTTTTAGAGCATAACAAAGGCTGTCTTTTATTCTTGTCCTTCATTTATTTCGACTTCCATGCCTTTGTCAGATTTGCAGACATGGCACCAATCTCATGTACATATCTGGCCCATCTTTATGCGCTTTTGTGTTTGTGTTTTGGGATGAAACGAAAACAGAGAGGCAATAGACTTTAAAGAGAAAGTACTACAGAGGGAAAGGAAATAAGAAAACCCACACACTTTTCATTCATACGTAGTGTTATACTTAGCAACATGAGGAAATTAATAAAAACTAATTCTACCTAAAGACTAGTTAAATGGTTGACTCTTATACCCAACGTGCTTCTAAAATCCGGTCATAGCTTTTACCCAGTTCTTTATTATTAAAGACAAAACATGCATAATTTAAACAAATGAACCACGAAGACAACAATTTAATAAAGATTATCCAACATCTCGGTAGTCTTCAGTTCTTCGTAGCCGGTTGTAACAATTTTCACAAATCTTGCGCACGAGCAATGTTTACATCCGGATACAATTATTGTAATTGGTTTTGTTAAGTTTTGGCAATAAGACATGCCCTAGCGATCGAGGTACTCGTGGGGTTCATCTTATGTCTTTGATACCACTTCGGGAATAACTTTATGGAAACACTTGAGGCAATATCTTTTATAGAAAATAATTCAGACTTACAGAAACATAAACAGAAGAAGAAAACAGGGGAATCTATCTTCTGTTTGTACAACCGTGTCGTACGTATACAGAATGTAAAAGCCTAAACTAAAATGCATGAGAACTCCTGAAAATATAGTTAACTATTTAACGGCACATGTGCCGAAGAAACCGCTGGAAGAAACTCTAATGGATAAGATTAATCTTTTTTTAAATGTTCCACTGTTCCAGAGAATACTTTTTTTTATAACTTCAACTTTGGCATTCAGCTACTATGATTGTACTTTGGGTTTAGCTCCAACACAATATATATGTAATCTAGCAAAGCCTTTTGAAGCAGCATCAATGTTTAAGTGTGGTAAAGTTGAAGTTCGAACAAGAAGTCTTATGGCTTAATAAAGAAGAACTGAACCCGAAAGTTGAGTTGTCTAGATCGAATAGCAGAAAATTGTTTTCCATCTGAAACGTACCGATCACAATCCCATATTCACTTGTCGCACCACCATTAACAAATGCAAGACAAGCCACATCTTTCCTTACTTGTTGCATGGAATTACTTGAGGATATTCTCCATTTCTTCCCACCTTGGAGTTTCAATACTATATCCGGCATCTTCAAATTCGAAAGGGAATGTCCAATTCGATTCTTTAAACAAAAAGCAAAGGGTGCCACTGGCCTTGCACGGAGGATTCCCAATGTAGCAACTGAAAACATACGAACCACTTGCTTATAAATGTCTGCTCTAAGAATGGTGTAAGAATCAATCGTACTAAGCTTGGTGGTGCTTTTTGAAACATCAATCGATCTTCCCTTAACAGTTATCGATTTAATACCAATAAAATAACCAAAAGAATTGGTATGATTTAGTAATGGAGTATAAGAGAGTAAACTTCTTAGATCTACATCTGACTTGGGAAGAAGATAATATGGTCCGCTCCCAAAGAACATAACCCCATGAGCAGACAAGGAGCTAGGCAAACATAGAGCAAAAGTGTTATTAAAAGGTTGAAATAAAAGAGCAGGCAATGCTTTACGAGATGAGGAAAATGCCATTACACCACTAACATTAGCAGGGAATGACTCAAACATAGAAGATGGAGCACAAGCCGCGTTACCATTACACTCATAGGAATCCAAAAAAGGGTTTTTACCATCACTTGCCCTGAACGTGAAAGTGTCATAGTTGAGTAGGGCATGACCACATGTCTTGTTAACCGGGTTCACCACATTAACAGGGCATATGCAGTCTCCGGAACCAGGTAATGTCGAACTGTTGGTTATTGGAAGACATGAAGGACTTTCATAAGAGTAAGATGTGCGGACATCTGTGCATGCGTACTCTTCACAAGAAGTCGGGTGAGTGCAACCGAAGCAATTGCTGCTTTCATAAATCCAACTGTTCCAGTCTACAGTGCAGTCATGCCATGTGAAAGGAGCGTCTATGTCTATAATGAAGTTTTTATATATGGCTGGTATATATACCCATATAGCAATCTCCATCTGAATGCTATAGAGTGGTGTAGCAGCATCGGCATGTTTTCTTAGTGGTGCAACTTGGGAAGTATAAGGATAAGGTTCTAGAAATTGTGCTATAGCTTCAGGTTCGTGGGAGATGAAGGCTAGAAGGAGAACAATTATTAGTAGATGAGGAACCATATTTGGATGTTTCATGAGGAGAACCATTCGATTTTATAGAGATATGTAAAGAAGTAGTCGTTGATCCGCACATGCACATGATACAACTCATAATCTTGCAAGTATAACTGTACAAGTAATACAACATGGCGAAGAGTTGAATGTATGCATGTTACTTGTAAAAGAAGGCTTAGCTTGAATTTAAAAAGTAATTGAACTTTATGTGAAAACAAATCAAGATCATGGACTTAGTCGTTGTGACCTATAACAAATGATTTTTTATAAATTAATTTGTATGATAATACTATACCGTCTTGAACAACCATTTCAAAAAGGGTATTTTACATAAAAGTTACTACGGTTTTTTTCTTTTTAATGTTTACACAATGTTATTTTTTTTTTTTCCAATTTAGCATTATGTTTTTTTATTTGTTGAAATGTTTGTCATTTATCCGATCACTTGGTTGCAGTGTTGATGTTCTAACATGTCACTATTTGGTTAATTGGTTCTGATCGTGACATGAAGTGTCAAAGTTTAAAAAGAGGGACACAGAAGATACTAAAGTGGTGTTTGTTTTTTTAAAGGTAAAAATTATAAAGTTACAGATCATATTTGGATCATATTTGCACACATTTGTAGAAAACTAAATGGATCAAAGATCTCCAATCAACAAGATGAAGATAGTTTGTTTTTCAAACATTTAAATAAACTGACATTTAAAAAATCTGATTTTTTAATATAAAATAATTTATTTGTCAATTACATTTTGTCGGTAGTTATCTATGATTTTTAAAAAATTTATTACAAATTAAAAACATATTTATGCATAAATAAAATCAATTATTTGATTCAAACTGTTTTCCATTTTGATATTTACAAAAATGATATATATGGGGGTAAAATTCTTAAAATCATCTATAATCATCTATAGGAAATCGTATGATCTAATTGCAAAATATATATATATATATATATATATATATATATATATATATATATATATATATATATATATATATATATATATATATATATAGTTCAGATTAAATTTGAACCACAAATATAGTGTGAATATATAATCATTTTTAATCCATTAGATTCAAAGAATAAAAAACTATTATCTTAGGGTGCATGTTATTAACATACAATATGATATATTAACATGGAATATGTTATTAACAGTGAATGTATGATATTTTTTTAAGTTTATCATTGTTTATGCATTCTTTAAGAATATGATATATTAAATTCTACATATTTGAAATTCTTTAAGAATACCTCCATTCTTTTGGTTTGATTTTGTTATTTATTATGCTTGTATTTTTTTAAAAATATGATATACTACTTATTAGAAATTCTTTAAAAAAAACTCCGTTTTTTTGGATTTAGCAAGTTGATTTGCAGGTTTGTAACACTAAAAAATTTGTTATACAAGTGTTAATTCTTAGAGAATTCAAGAATACCATGTTTAAAACTCTCTGATTGATTTCAAATATCAATATCTTCTAAAGAATTCTTGTGAATTAAGGAATAAGAATTAACCTATAGCTCTGTAATACAATAAATATCTTATACAAAGAATTCTTGAAGAATTCAAGCATTCTTGAAGAATGCTTGAAGAATACAATGTCTTCTAAAGAATTCTCGTAGAATTGGAGAATAAGAATTGACCTATAGGTCTGTAATACAATAAATATCTTATTACATCTCACGTTCTTCAAGAATGAATGTACAAAAATTAAATAATAATGCTTCAAGAATGAATTTGAAATCATAACAATTTCACATTCTCATTTTCAAAAATAGTATCACACAAAGGTTATCAACATCATTCTATTAGTTTCAAAAACCAAATCCATTATTTGTTGTTCTTCTTGTTTATACACTTCTTCCAATGGTAATTATTGTAAAGGTTCTGCTTGTAAATCTGTTGGTGGTTGTTATGTTGCTTGTGTTACATCTGCAACTACAAAAGTAAAACAAAGTAATTAAGAATCCATTTTTATATATCTCATTGTATAATCAATTTAATAAATATGTATTCTATAATTGATATTAAACATAAATAAGCATTCTGTTGAGTCATATGGGTTGCGTCATTGTGTAATTAAATGTATAGTCCATTTTGTATAACGGGTTGGGCCTGTCCACCCGGTTATTTACTATTAGGGTTTTACTATTTAAAGTGCATCCATGCACCGTATCTTGTAATCGTCTAAGTTGTAAACCCTACACAACCTTTACAGTAGAAGTTCTTCATCGAGCTCTTCTAAGGCTGTGATTTTTAATCATTCGACACAACTTCGATCTTCTTTCTGTGTTTGATTCTTTTTCATGTTTGAATCTGATTGATCATTCAACTTTTATTCTTAACAATTGGTATCAAAGCAGGAGACTGTGTAATCCATATGCATCTCTTTTCTTAAAGAGTTATTAGGGTTTCCGCTTTAATAGGATCTGGAGTTTGCCGTCTTCCTCGTTCTCATCGATTACAGACATTGAATCCTGATCTTTATTTTACCCTAAACTCGTTTTTAGGTTTACACATCTGGTTCATAGAGGTTATTATTAACTCGACAACATGCAGTTTGACGATTCTCACGCTAACTCCATCAATTTCTCAAGCGGTATTGGATCTACAACAAGGATCCCTATCCTCTTTCCAAATGATTATGATGTGTGGGCACTGTACTTTGAGGATTACGTGCTAGGGCCTGAAGACAATGGTTCCTTGATATGGGATGTCATAACTGTTGGGTATAGTGTCTAAGTCCATAACTTTATTTGGTATGTACTTGACCCGACCCGGCATGGTCCATTTGGGTTGCATGGCATTGCAATACTTGGATAGACTAAATGAGAGAATAAGGCACTTATGATTATTAATATATTATAAGTTCTAATATATTAATAATAGTATTATTTAATTAGTATTGATCAAGTATTAATCTAGGATTAATCTAGTGATCAAAGTGAGACTAATTAAATATATAGGGTTGATTATGACAATCATCAATTCTTTTATGGTGGATTAATGATCCATGGTTTATGGGTTTGGTTATAACCATATGGAGCTCCATGGATAGTCCATGGGAGTTACAAATCCATGGGTCATGGGAAATCAAGAGTCATGACAATTAAGGGCATTCATGTGTAAACCCTAATTGTGACAACACTATAAAAGGAACCCTATGGCTAGGAAAATCATGACCTAGTTGACCTAGTGTTACTAGAGAGGGCATAACCGATTTTGAGTGCTAGAAGTATTCTCTCAAGTTATTCCAAGTCTTTTGGTGTTGTGTGAGGCACAACATTTGGGGTGCTAGGCTCACAAAGTCTTGAAGGAATCCAAGCAACAACAAGGTATGTATTCCTACTAGTTTTATGTTTTATGTAATCCCCTTGCCATGCTAGTTAGGAAATAACCTTGAAAAGGAAATTTGCATGTATATAGAGAAAACATAGATTCAAGGTTATTAGGGTTGCATGTACACTTAGGAAGTGTTAGAATGCTCAAAAACCCATCAGTGGTATCAGAGCCTAGGATTGTTTTCTGTATACTTGATGCAAAACTGCTTAAAAATCGAAAATTCTGCATTCTGACGACTGGACTCGCCGAGTCCATGGGGAGGACTCGCCGAGTCCATGAACAAATTCATCCTACTCGACGAGTAGAATAATGCACTCGGCGAGTAGGAGCGTGCTGGGCAGTTTTTTCGAGTTTTGTTGCTGGAAATGGATTAAGATCATTATCCCAATATGTTTTGGACTTGTAAAATCTGTTTTTCAAAATGATAATGATTATGTTAACCCATTTTACATGACTTTTATCAATTTTCAAGTATTGTATATGTTTATATGATTTCTTGAAATTGCTTGACATGAATTTGTGTTCTTATGAGTTTTTAGAAGATCATAGGAATTATGTGTAACCACCATGTGTGTTTAATTCATGATCTTAATGGCTATGATGGTGTCCATAACTTGTCCTCAAGTTATGGATAACCAAAAGTCACTTCTTTTAATTATGATTAAAGAACTAAAGAGGTTTCATAAAATGAAGAGTCTTCATTTTTATGAACCATTAAAACTCATAAGTTACAAATTGAAGAGACTTGGAATAGTTTCAAATCTTGCCCTCAAGTTTTGGAATTTGAAAAGTCTTACACTTTAATACTTTAATTCCAAATTAAACCTTAGATTTTTAAAAGTTTAAAAATCAACACTTATACTATTATTATAATTTTATTATATAGATATGTATAAGAATATGTCATTCTTACCGTTAGTAGGCTCATTCACGAAGCCGGTCTATAAGGGGGGTATAAGGTTGTTGCCTATAAAATGGTGACTTAATGGGTGTCCACTCTCACCCACCGCTTCCTTGATCGGTGGAGGGTCGTTAGCCGAACGGGTAGGATACGACTTTAAATACTCGTTAAAAGTATAATGAATTATAAAGTAACTATACATTATAAATTCCCAATCTTAGTTACTTTAGGAAAATGTGAAATTGGTGCTAGCCCATAAAATTACACTTTGTACCTTACCAAGTCGTTAGTGGAGCGTGTGTGGTTAACCGGCACACTAACATGGACTAGTAAGAGTGGCAAAGGGTAACTTGACCTTATTATAGATCGGTGGAGCGTGTGTGGTTAACCGGCACATCGATTAGGTAATATTGTTGAGGGTACCAAGTCAATTTGTATGGTTATTCACACCTTGTTTGTGATCCTCGGCATCCCAGTCACAAACTTGAGAGGGCACAATCGAGATTCAAACATGCCATTGAAAAGTTCAATGTATCTCAAAAGATCTAGGAGTTTCAAAACCAATAAAACCTAATAATAAAATATTTCGTTCTTATGGTGGAAATTGGTAAATCGTCATTTACCTACCTTCAAATATTTTATAGTATGGATTACGGCATCCCTCTTCCAACTATAAATAGTTTGTTGGATCCTAGCCTTAATATTTCATTTGGGTGAATTATTAAGGATTCCTAATCTAATGAAACTTGTCTTTCTTTCCTTTCAGATGTCTTCCA